AAAAAAAAAAAAAAAAAACTCATTAAAAATCTTTTTACATATAAAAGCCGACTTGAAGCAAAAGGGATCTACGGACCTGAAACTTTTTATTTTTAGCATTCTTTTTCTTTGGGATGGGAATCCTCATTTTTAAAAATTCTTTACGATACTAATCATAATTCCGACAAGAAAAAAGGAAAAAGGAAAAAAAATCTGTATAGAATTGGTCTCTTCCACGTTTCAATAAGCCCCCTGGAAGGTTAGTGAGTGCCTACTGCATTTTCGTGAATGTGCCCGAACAGAAGAGAGGTCTAGTCCCCTGCGCACATCAGATGGCAAGAAAGTTCCAGTCCCGCGCACGTGAGCAGCCCCCACCGCTACTGGTGTTGAGTCCCCAGAGAAGACCCCTCTCCGGGTGGCTCTCTGCACCCGCACCCCATCAGACTGCCCGCTGCCTGGGCCCCCGAGGACACCTCACAGGGGAAGGGCCCCCTCGTCTAAAGGGAGGAAGCAGCCGAGGCTGAGAGACAGTGACCGTGGCAGGGGCCGGGTCACGAGGGCCACCTTGTCACCCAACAGGGCGAGGGGCTACTACCTTGTTCGAAAAAGCCCAAAGTTAGCAAGTCCTCATAAATGTTCTAAAAACAGGCCTCCTGTCTACAGTGAGGACGAGAGGCCCCCAGGAAACAAAACAACAAGGAATTAAAACTGGAATAGAAGCTCCTCGGGTAGTCACTAGAATCGGGAATCCAGAGCCCCCTCTGGACAAAAAGTGCTACGCTTGCATTCTGAGGCTGTTTTTTTGTTTTGGTTTTAGAGTGGCAAAGACTTTAGATTTGATGACGAAGTCCAGATGTCATGATACAAGGGTGGGAACAGCCTCAGAGAGCTGTCACTCTGCTTCTGTGTGTTCTGCAAATCCAGAAAATAGAGGAGTCGTATTACCATGGTAGTTGTGACTCACCTCAACACTCAAGTACCTAAGAATATGCCAGACTTTAAAGGACCAAAACCAGGGAACACGGGAGGACATTCCTCCGTGAGCCCAGGTCCAAAAGCCGCTGAAAGGTGCCACGGCAGGTAAGCCGCCCTTCTTCCCGCCTGAGGTGGGTGAGTGCACGACGGCCAGGGTCAGCTCGAGTGACACAGCGCGTCGTGCCAGGGCCAGAGCGGGCTTGCGGTGACGTGGGCCAGGTTACAATGTGAGGGCTACACGGAGCACAACGTTCCAGAGACAGACTGCGAGAACAACTGCACTACGTCCAGACCGGAGCACATGCACGCCCGCCTGTGCGTACTCTGCGTGCATGCGTGTCTGTGGCGCTCCCGGAGGCTGAAGTCGTCGCTTCTTCCGCCTCCGACTCGCCCAGAGTTTAAATGACCTGAGACTCACCTACGTTCGCCTGTGGCCAACACCAGTGTCACGCGTGTCAAGTCTGACTCACTGGTGCTTCCACCTGGGCAACTAAATGGCCTTCACGTGAACGCCAGTTAACGCTAGGATTATGATTTTACCTCATTCTCAGTTAGGGACGCAGAAGGAGATGAACTTTTGCTAAAAGGAGCGCACGACGCTGCTGCAGACGCCCGATTTCGCTTCTTCAGTGGTTTGCATGCGTCAGACAGGTGTTTCGTTGCTGTAAGACAATTTTGGTTTATAGAGTAAAATTTGAAGTCTTCGCCCTCTGTCTCCTTCTTTCCTGCTTTAAAATCACCCCCCTGGTAAGTGAGGTTCTAAAGATAAATTTCCCGGGCCGCTTTGTGACACTAAAGGCTTAACTTTTTACCGCGAAAAAACCTCACTCTAAACAAGGGCAGACTGTACAGTGAGCCCCAGTGTCCCCCTGCCTGGCCCCCGAATACATCAACCTGGGGCCCAGAAGGCTCCATCCACGCCTAGTTTCACGTCCCCCTGGCCACGTTCTTCTGGTGTACATTCCACACCCCGTTTCACCTGTAAAAAGCTCAGTACGTGTCTCTGAGACAAAGTCTCAAATACAAGCGCAATACCGCGACACCATTCTTAAAAGTAACACTCGATCCCTTCGTATCATCAAATATCCACTCATTGTTCAAACTGCCCGTAAACGTCTTCCTTCCAACAGTCTATTTAACCGAGTTTTAAAAACCAGCACAGCACTTGCTGCAAAATAAGGGAAATGAATCCATTTCCAACCCTCGCTCCTCCCATGAATGTTTCCTTCCCTAGGTACAAGCTGGAGATGGTAAGCCCCCCGTGATAAACTATCAGATACGATAAAACGACAGTGAGAAGGGAAGGCGGCCCGACTCCCCCTTCGTTCTTTTGACGGTTACTTTTCACAAACATTCAAAGCCAGTTTTCAACGCGTGAAAGGGAAATAACCAGTCACTACTTTTACTTCCGCTAATACAGTAAGTGAAGGATCGGCTCCTAAAAAGGGGTGGAATCTATAGCAGCAGCTGGCACCAGCAAGTTAGAAACACGGATGTTCCTGGTTTAAGGAACTTTTCTAGTATCATTTTAAACTGAAAATAAAGCCCAACAGAAATCAGTAGAAAAATAACTTCAATAAAACGTAGCTGGATCATTAGAACAACTTACACATTCGAGCAGTTGATCTTTCAGCTGCGCGAGAACGTCCCTCCACCTTATCCTTGGACCCTGGGCCGTCAGAGCCCCCGGCTCCCCGGACCCTGGCCCAGCCCAGCTCCCCGTCCGTCCACCTGCAGCCCACCAGGCGCCTGGAAGGGCCTGCCAACAAGGAAGAAGCGCTAATGCCCACATTACCTGCCTGGCTCTTCAGCGAGGTGGCGGCCTCCATGGCCTTGCAAGAACCTGTTCGGGCCGTCTTGTCACTCGCCGTCTCTCTCTGTTGTTAAACAAAAGAAACGGGAGAACAAGAGGAAGGGAAGAAATCTGACGTGAACCGACATGGGTTGCCGAAACGTGCGACAGAAAGGTCTTCCTCTGGAGATGGGCTCCACGCGCGCCAGGAGGGGGACCCCGCCTCACCCCTCTCCACTCTGCCATCTGCTGGGACAAGGGGGCCAGCGGGGCTGCGCCTCACGACCTAACGGTCATGCTGCTGAGACTCTTCACGTGAGCGGCATTCGATGTGCTACTCAAATCTGCCTCTGAATTCAAAGTGGAGTTGGGGGTCCGCCCCCCAGTCTGTCCCGTGAACCTGAAGGGGCCCCGGGTCAGTGCCAATGTCACCGTGCTGACCCCCCACTCGGAGGGGCCCCGACTCGGAGACCAGCTCCAGGTGAACTTCACAAAGGTCATCCGCAAAGCACGTTTCACCACCGAGAGACTCCACCCAAAAACACGGTACCGGGACCGTTTTTGCCCAGCACTCGGAACCAGAAGCAGGTGTAGACAACCTCTCCCGACAGCCCCAGGGGACCGGGTCACAGGACTGTGCAAAAGGGAACAGGCGCACGGCACGGGGCGGCACCTGGCGCATCCAGGACTCCGCGTATTGGGAATTCTGTAGGACGCGCTTACTCAGATTGATAACTAAGCCCGAGGAGACACCACTACTCTCTTTGTTTGCGATTTCCTGAGCTATCAGCTAATCAAACATTTCTACCTAGCTACTTAATGTGAGTTTTGATATTTCAAATGTCCAGGGCCACACATTTTTTTAAGGTAAATATGAAATGCAAATATTTCAAAGCAACCGAGGTCACTACGATTGCCAGCAAAGGACTGCTCTAACACCAGGTGGCCAGAGGGCACAGTCACCACACGCAGTGCAGCGACTCAAGGTGAACATTACCTATCTCAGCACTGGACACTTGACAGGTGCCCCAGAAGAGGCCCTGGTGGCCAGAAACACTGGGCAGGGCCCGTGTGCCCCCTGAACCGCAAAAGCAGCTTTGAAGTAACGGGGGCGCCCGCGTGGCTCAGTCGGTTGAGTGTCCGACTCTTGGTTTCAGCTCAGGTCGTAACCTTGCGGTCCGTGGGATCCAGTCCCGTGCTGGGCTCTACGCTGATGGCTGGAGCCTGCTTGGGGCTCTCTCCCTCTCTCTCAAAATAAATACATAAACAATTTTTTTTTAACGTTCAAAAAAGAGAAAGAAGACAGAAGATGTGGTGGCCGCATATTTACGCTTCAACGACATGCAGAATTCATTTTCCATTCCAAAAATACAGCGAAACAATAAAGGAGCCTCTTAACTTAGGTTAGAAGATGGTATGAGGCTTTACTCAAAACCGTAAGTACACAACTACTCTGTCAGAACTATCGCTAAACAGCTTTACACTAAGACATAAGATGCAAAGCCTGTTGGGGCGCCTGGGTGGCTCGGTCGGTCGGGCGTCCGACTTCGGCTCAGGTCACCATCTCGCAGTCCGTGAGTTCGAGCCCCGCGTCGGGCTCTGTGCTGACCGCTCAGAGCCTGGAGCCTGTTTCAGATTCTGTGTCTCCCTCTCTCTCTGCCCTCCCCCGTTCATGCTCTGTCTCTCTCTGTCCCAAAAATAAATAAACGTTAAAAAAAAAAAAAAAAATTTAAAGATGCAAAGCCTGTTTACGCTCCCGGTTCATGGAGAAGCTCACTGGACGTGTGAGACAGTTTCCATGAATGACACTGAGTCATAAAGCACATTGCAAAAGGCTCACGCTCCCTGCAGGCATGAGCACCATATGCCAGGTGGGAGAATCCGCCGTCTCTCCAGCTATGTGGACCCTGGCCAGGCAGACTCGGCCCCCTGATGCACGTTCGACACCCACTGAGCACCAGCCCAGAGGAAGGCCTCCTGCCTCCCACAGGCATCCACTGAAGAGTCGCACGGGAGGGCCACAGTCCTCCAGCCTGGACAAACCCGGGGTGCGGTTACCTTCCGGAGACCGTGCTTGTCGGTCCTGAGTCTTTTCCTGGGTGCGTCTTCGATTTCAACGTCTTCAGGAGGGTCCTGCGTCCTCTTGGTATGGTTTCTTTTTTTCCCATTTACGTTACCTTGGAACAGAGAACGGGCGAAACTGACGTGAAAAGCACTCCACGAGCCACCCTCCAAAGCACCGCTCCCCCAGCCGGGGCACGCGTGCACCAACCCAGCCCAGGAGGGTCTCCTGCAGGGCCGTCGGTTCCCAGGGCCCGAGAATTAAGGGCCAAACCTCTCTGCATTCTGCACACGCAACATCGAATACTGGAGAACGCTTATCTCATCTACAGATTATTATACTGGTATTTCTCATAATAACATTTTAACGTACTAGAGCATTAAATGTAAATATAACCCAGGAGTTTACTAACACTCAAAGATGGAGGAATTTAAGCGGAACTTTAGAAAGGACACAACTTGCTACTTTTTATATATTTCCTTAAAGAAGCATGTTGGGTAGCAGCAACACGGCTGCGGTGTCTGCAGACTAAGGGTTTTCTACCAGTGGTTTGTGCCAATTAGGTGTTTCCAGGAATATCAACTAATCCAAGTCTTAACGTGTTCAAACAGTACTGACCTAGAAAAGTGAGACATAAGGTAATCTTACGGTGCAGTAAGAATTCGCAGTGCAAATTCTAGAGAGGTGATTAATTTGAACACGCTGATGTTTATTTCAAACACAAACTCAGCGTTTCCGTTTGCACGACTCTCTTACAGAGGTGCAGGGCTTACCCCTGGACTGTCCAGGAAAAACATCCCGTGGGAGGGCAGCGCTGTCCTCAAACCTTCCTACCAGGCGGGACAGAGCCCTCGGGCCAGGAGTGTGGCGCCCAGCAGGAGGTCACCCCGGCCGGGGCAGACACGAGCACAGAGCTGAGCGGCCGGACAGTCCCGGGACGGCGTCAGCCGGCCCCCTCCCGGCCACAGCACCGTGGGCTGCCGTGGCGGCACAGGAGAGGTGTGCCCATGGAGGTGTGGGGGCGGTGGCGGCTGCTAGGAGGCCGTCCCCACGCAACCGGCACAGGGCGCCGCCAGCCCGGCCTGCCGCAGCCTCCACCGCCTGGCGTGCCCACCCTCCTCGCACGTGTCCACTGAGCCACAGACACCCGCTAGCAGCAGCCGCCATCCGGCGGCTCACCTTCACACAGGTGAGGTGGGGCCGCAGTCCTCGCGGAAGACGTCCCCTGGGCCCGAAATGACACAGCAGGGGCTTCGTACACAGGTAAGCAACGTGGGCACCTGCCTGACTTCCTCACACTGAGGCCGTGGCACAGCTTGTCCCACAAACACAGTCCGCCCGCCATCTTGGTCACCGGCACGGGGGCCCCAATGGGGAGGCAGGAGGGCCCCCAGGACAAGCACACACTGGACACACACACGGAGGAGACCAGCCCTGTCCCCCTGTCTAAGCACTCGGTAGCCGTCCCAAGTGACCACACGTGACCCACAACCACCTGCACACTTACTCCAAGGGTAGTTAAATCTGGCTTCAGGAAAACCCGACTCCTTCTTAAGTAAGCCAGTCATTGAAAAGGGACACTCCTAGTCAGGTGATCGTTTGCCTTTTAAAGAAAGTGCACGAGGGGCGCCTGGGTGGCTCAGTCGGTTAAGCGTCCGACTTTGGCTCAGGTCATGATCTCGCGGTCCGTGAGTTCGAGCCCCGCGTCGGGCTCTGTGCTGATGGCTCGGAGCCTGGAGCCTGTTTCAGATTCTGTGTCTCCCTCTCTCTCTCTCACCCTCCCCCGTTCATGCTCTGTCTCTCTCTGTCTCAAAAATAAATAAATGTTAAAAAAAAAAATTAAAAAAAGAAAAGTACACGAATCCAAAATATGCTTACTAGTCTACCTGACAGCATTTGCAACAAATCCTGAACTGGACAAAGTCAGTATTAACATATGAGAGAGTCGATGTGGAGACCCAGAAGCCCTAGAATCAAGATCCTCCGTGAACGAAACAGAAAGGTCTCTAGTGCGTGTGCAATTGGTCGGATGCACCAGTGCTGGTCCAGAAGCACGAGCAGGTGCACACGAGGGAAGTGCGACTCCTTCTGGCTCTCGCCCCCCTCTAGGGGGTCTTCGAACACTTTACATCTGGCCTCTCCAAAGCTCTTCAGGGCTGAACCTTGAGGTACAGAACTGTTCTGTATTTAAACTGATAACCAACCCATCACGCTTATTTTTTACGTTAGAAACGTCGGTTTTCCACAACACGTGTCCAAGCACGCACAGATGACAAATCTGACCATCGTCACGGTTCCTCCAAAAGCTCACAGTGTTAAGTCTCCCTTCTCTTTCCGTTCACCAAAGCAAAGTAGCATTTTTTTGATATTTAAACTGAAGGCCTGTGAAAAACCAGAGGTCACCCACATTTAAGGTCAGTCCACAGTCACCTTCCTCACCCTGCGAGCTCTCCAGCAAAGAGATCAGGAAGGCCCCCCTGCCTGTAGGGGCAAAGCCCCTTGCGAGGGGCAGGCACAGCCCCTGCTGGGAGGGCAGCCTCGCCAGGGGGCCACAGGCCACGGTCGGACTCTACCGTGCCACGTAAGCCCGGGCCCCCTTCCTTTGGGTGTCCTCCCCTACACCGCCCCGCCGGCTGCAGGGGTTAGAGCGCCCGCTGCGCTCGGGCACAAGAGCGAGGGGCCCGAGGCCAGACAGAGGGTGACACCGAACAGCTCTCGTGTGACGATGAGGGAGGAGCCGCAGACAGCGGAGGTGGCTTGATCGCGCCCACACGCACCCTGGCTGCCGGCACGGGCAGCAGGGGCAGGGCTGGGGAGGGCGGCCCCGCCGCCCCCGGGCTCCCAGACCGGGGCTCGGCCGGCCCCACTACGCACACCGCACACCTCAGCAGAGCGCACTCGCTCGGCTCTAGGTTTACCGGAGTCTTCTTCAGACTGGGGAGAGGCCACGAGGGCAAACTTGGTGTTATAGCGCGCCTTCTGCTTCTCGTTGAGCATGTCCCACTGGGAGCCGAGCAGCTCTTTGACCTCCTCGGCCGAGGCGTCCGGGTGCTCTGCGACCACCTGCGGGCACAGCAAGGGCGGGGTGAGAAAACCACACACCTGCAGCCCACTGGGGGTCCGTCCGCACCAAGTCCAGGCACGGCCCCCGAGAACCCAGCACGTGGCACACTTACCCCCGCGTCACGGAGCTGTACCCCACAAAAGCTTCAAAGAGAATTAGTGAGGATCTGCTGCTATAACTCGTCAGAAGTTTATAAATAAAAGCAGCATGGTGAAAACAAGTCAACGGAACTTATGACAACTCAGGAAATAATAAATGGCAAGAGGAAAATACATACTTTCCCCAAATCACTAAAGTATTAGTAAGTTACAATTTTCTAGGCATCCCTGACAAGTCAGCAGTGGGAAAAGTGCCCTGCGAGCGCTACCTGTCAACACGGGGGGGGGGGGGGCGGAGGCTTGGCTTGGCTTTCCATGACCCATGACTCGGGCGCGTGGCCTGGATGGATGACACAGGGGACGAGGCAGGAGCACCAGGCCCCATCACCGCCCGGGTCGGCACACAGACACGGCCCTCCAGCCGTGCAGGGCTGCCTGCGCCAGCGCCCCGGAAGCAGGCCAGAAATGCGGGCCTCGGGCCCCACCCCGGCCTTCCCCAAGGTCTCCGGGGGACCCAGAGTACCCTGATCAGGTACCCTGAAGCCTGATTCCTGGGCCCGCGGCCTTGGCTGCATGCTAACAACCCGGGGAGTTGGAAAACCTCTGGTGCTCAGGCCACACCGAGGCCGGGTCACGCTCTGGGCCTGACGTGGCTGCTGTGAGGGCTCCCAAGCTGGAGAGCCACCAGCAGCAGAGGCGCAGAGGCTGACAAATCGCGGCCTGCAGGCCAAGCGAGCCCCACCTGCTGTCCTCTGTGTGGTCTATGAACCAGGAATTGATTTTACACTTCTAAATGGTGGGGAAGAAGAACACTTCGTAGCTCGTGACAATTACAGGAAGCTCGGGTATCAGTGCTCCTATCTAGTCTTACTGGAATTCGGCCCCAGGCACCCCCGGCCGGCCTCCCAGGGCCGCCTTCCGGCCCCGGCAGAGCCCCTTTGAAGGCCTGCTGCCTGATTCTGAGCACTGGCCAGAACGCTCTGGAGCGAGACCCCAGTCGGCATGTGGCGCCTGCACTCGCAGCTCCGCAAACTCGGGTGAGCAGAGGTGCGGTGTCGTCCTCTGCGATGCGGCCACCCCGATCTCCCGCCTGTCCGGCCACCGCGGGCCACGTCTGCCCCAAAACGCAGCCCCCACTCACACCACGGTCACCACAGTCGGCTTCCTACAGCCTCCCGTGTCCCCCACTCGTCCCCACGTCCCGGCACGCCTCCGGCTCCCCCAGCCTTGGACCTCGGAGCACGTGCACCTCCACATGTGGGTGCACAGCCACCCAGCCCTCTGTGCCCTCCCATCACAGGGCGCCTCTGGCAACCACAAGTCCAGCCCCGGTGCCCCATGGGAACTGTCCCCATCCCCACCCTGCCCCCGCCGCGGCCCCACACACACCTGCCCTCCCCTCTCACCTTGGGGGCTCCCTCGGCCTAGGGGCCGGCAGGGTTCTGTCCCGCCCGCCCAGCCTGAGGGATGAGCTCACCAACCCCCACGCTTCAAGCACCGAAGGTCTCAGACCTTCAAGCAGCAGAGGCTTCTGTGCACGGCTCAGACTCACAGGACGCTTGCCTTCTAGAACTCTCCTCTTGAAGATTCCTCAAGATCAGCACATGCATTTGTGGGCCCCCCACCCTATCACCCACCCCTGAGTACAATATCCTCAATCAGAATTAATCCTAACAGTGTTCACAGCCACCACCCCCCCGCCCCCCGTCAAACAAGATTCCCCACTCCTCCTTGAGGTCCCCTTCCCCCCTGCACCCACATCCCTGCCAGGCCGGCCAGCCCCTCTCCCGGATGCCTCTGCACCCACCCCACCTGGATGGCTATGGTTTCAGCAACCGGTTTTCTGGCTCTTGGTCCTATCCATCTACCTGCTGACATTCCCACCCTAAGAGGTCTCCCTCTTGCACCAAGAGGGACCATGGCCTGGCCCACATGTAGGGTAGAGTCCCTGCCAACGGACAATGTCTTCCATGGCCCCTCAGAACCTGGAGCCCATCCTCACCCTCCTCTCATCCCTCCCCGGACAACTCTGCACTCGGGGACATGATGGCTCTGTCTCTCCACAGGCCCTTCCCTCTCAGAAACATTATCTTCCATCAGGCTGACTTTGGAGCGTCCTTCAGCTACAACGCTGCCTGCCTGCCTGCCTGCCTGCCTGCCTTCCGGCAGCATCTGGAGCTAGGGGACAGGAAATAGTGTCGTGGCAGCCACCACCCCACCTACAGCACTCACCTCACTTTTTCACCCCAGTCGCCCACCCAGACTCTGGCCGGGGCCTCAGGGTCTCCCTCCCGCATCTCAGGTTCAGGAAGCAGCGGCTGCCCAGGAAGGTCTGCGGGGTCTCATCAACGCACTTGTGCGGCACAACGGCTGCACGTTCAGCGTGCACACACGTTCGTGTGCACAGGCAGGCACACACGCACACACTTAGGGCCAAGTCCCACTCCTCCTTCCTGCCTGCGTCCCCCCACTGGCAGAGGACGGTCACTTTACATGTCTGGGTTCAGCGTAGCCAGCCCTGAAACGGGGATAACTTGTGCCAGCCTCAAAAGGCCTTCGTGACAACTGAACATGGTTTTTTCCAGGAGAGCCTGGGTGGCTCAGTTCAGGTCAGGATCTCACGGTTCAGGAGTTGGAGCCCCACCTCGGGATCCCCGCTTGGGATCCTCTTTCTCCCTCTCTGCCCCTCCCCCGTTTGTGCGCACCATGTCTCTCTCAAAAGAAATAAACTTAAAAACAATAAATAAGACGGTCGTCACAGTGGCGTACCAGCCACATTCCTCACAGATGGCAAGCACTCAGCGGTGGCCACTCCCATACTTTCAATAAACTACTTCGGACACACAAAAAGGCACAGAAGGCTGAATACCCCCAAGCTCACCCACTGCGCTGACTCAACGACACCAGAACAAAGATTCCGCGCACCCCTCGGGGTTCGCACTCCCTGCCCACGGCCCACCTGTCTGCTCACGCACCCGTTCAGACCTTTGTGCCGCCTTCTAGACTTCTGGGATGGTCACGGCGCCACCCTCCGAGGGGCCCCGGGAGCCGCTGCCAGGACTCCCGCCTCCCTGAGTGGCACTGCCAGTGTAGCCAACGCACAGTGTAGACAGGCAGCCCGCCAGCTTTCAAGTCTGAACTTCCAGAAGACGTCGCCCTGCCCTCCGGGATCACCCGTTCCACAAGAAGCCTGCCTCGGTGCCACCCCACGGACAGGACCACGCGCTGAGGCCTCCTGCAGGCGCCATCAGTGCAGCACCTCGGAAGACCATCCCCCAGCCCCAGCCCCCCTCTTAACTGTGACCTCACGGGACACCCTGAGCCGGAACCACTGAGCTGCTCCCAAACCCCCGACCTGCAGACACTGTGGGCGGATCCACGTGTGCTGGTGGTGGTGGTGGTGGTGGCGGTTTTCAGGCCGGCTTCACACCCAGTGCGGAGCCCGACGTGGGGCCTGAACTCACCGTCCTGAGATCAAGACCTGAGCCAAGATCAAAGTCGGACGTTCAACCGACTGAGCCACCCAGACGTCCCTATGCGTGTTGCTGTTTTAAGCCACTAGGTTCTGAGGCAATGTGTTATGCGATACTACATAACTACCGCGAACGTTCGTACAAAGAAGAAAGACATGAAGCACGGTTTGCTTATATCACATCGATAAAAACTGGGATCAGGGAAGGTGAAACAGATTCTTTAAAACTTGGAAACTGAGACCATACACATCAGTAACCAATGACATTGCTACTGATGCTGGAGCCTCTGGGAGATCCTTCCTGGGATTTTCCTCACAGTGGGGCTCCCCCAGCTGCTCTCCCTTCCTTGCCTGCAAAGTCCCCCCCACCCCCACCCCCGCCCAGGCCCTCATCAGCAGGACTCCATCCCACTGCGGGCTCTGTCTCCCAGCAAACTATTCACGACCCCCACTGCAGCCCCATCACTGTGCTCCAGGGATGCCACAACAGACACTTGTGAGCTGAGCCTGCTGGACAGACAGAACCAAGCAAAGCACGTTAATGAAGAACTCAACCCACTTCACAAGGCAGAATATTCTCCTTCGTTTGCAAGAAGGAACTTGAACTTCAAAACAAAAGCCCGCGGGTAGCAGCCAAATATCCCTGAGAGTCACAGTCTTCTATCTAGTGACCCCGGAAAAGGGGGCAGGAAGCAGAGGGAAGGCTTCATCCAACTCTGTTCCTCAAGAGTTGGCCATGATTCATCAACTAACTACCAAACAAAAACCATCCTTGGAGCCACCGTCGCCCCTCAAAAAGAAAAAACCACCTAGACAGACCCAGATCATTTTCCAGGGTGAATCGGAGAGCAGCCTCCCCAACTCAAGCCTAGAATTACTTATCACAGAACCAGCACAAACACAGTTTTGTATTAACAACAAAGTCGCTGAAACGGTTAAAGAACATCCAGGCGTCATCACTCTTCTGACAACGATAATCACCCCAAACCAAGCAACACCTGCACCCAGCTGGGAGGGAAGGGGCCCATGGGCCTCATACCCCATCCCCAACAGAGACTGGGCACAGGCAGGGCAGGGTAGGTCACCTGTCTTGAATGTGAACTGAAGCTTCATCGGGCACCCTTCAGTTTTGGCTTCTGCATTTAGCAGGACGCCACGGCAAACCTGTGCGTCACGTGCTCTGGAGAGGCGCTCGGAGCTGAGCGACTCCGCGGGTGCCCAGCACCTCACACACGCAGTGTCTGGAGTGAGAGGCTTCGGTTTGCTCTTGGCACTTTCCTTAGTACTGGAAAGGCCATCCTGAGAGCAGGATGGGTCCCCAAAGGCAGAAAGGGTGGTCTCGGGAAAGCAGTTTGAATTCTCAGGCACCCGCTTTTCTCTCGTAATTTCAGATGCGCGGAGAGACCAGGGACAAACAGACGGGAGTGTGGCTGGCTGGCTGGCTCTGGTCGAGAGCCCTGCCCTGCTTCCCAGAGCACGCAGCTGCGCGGCAGCCACAACCGGGGGCCCGGCGGGGGCCGTCCACGCCGCCCAGCGCCCCGTACCGCTTCCAGTCCGACAGAGGCCGCGGCTCCTCCCCGGGCCGACTTCTCCGCTCCGAGACGCTGCTCTTCGGGGACAGATGAGGCAGACGGGTGGGTAAAACGGGGGGTGCGCTGCACTTTTCACACTTCCCGCAAGCGACAGGATCTGCACGTCCTTCGGCCGACGGCCCCCTGCTGGACTTGCGGCGGCCCCTTTGCCGCCGCCCCGAGTCGGCCACAGGAGCACGCCAGCCCTGCCCCTCCCTTAGCCACCTTTCAGTTGCAACCACCGTGCCGTCTCCTTGGGCACGTGGGCCACCTTCTGCAGGGTCAGTACCCGGGAGTGACCTTACAAGACAGAAAAAACACGCATCTTCGGGGCATCAGGCTGGCTCAGTTGGAAAAGCACGTGATTCTTGATCTCAGGATTGAGTTCAAGCCCCACGTTGGGTGTAGAATTACTCAAATGAATGAAAAAGTAAATTTTTAAAATAAAAACTTTAAAAACAAAAAAAAAAACACGCATCTTCAATTCCGCAATACGTCACCAAATTTCTCTGGAAACCAAGTGTAAAGAATGATGCGGGCTCTCTCTGCCCGTCCTTCCCGAGGCGCAGGGCCGGGGCGCTCACCCGGCAGCCGCGGACAGTCCTCTGTGGTTCCCTGGCTGCCAGCGAGGCAGAGTGACCTCTCTGTGGATGCACTGGCTGCCCAGGCTCTTCTAGAAATTGCCATTTTCGCAGCCTTCAGAATGGTCTGAGCTCTGTACCCAGTTTGTCCTTTCGTTTTGTTCCCGGTTGTCCCTGTCACATAAACTTTCATTTTAACGTAGCTCCTCAGGGGCCTATGATCGGTTTGGCTTAAGAAATCCTCCTCTCTCCCAAAGGACAAAGTTGTCCCGCAGCGGCTGAGTCCTGAAAGCCCTGGGCGGTCCTGGCACCCGTCCAGACTGTCCAGCTGCCCGTGCCCCTTCCCCATCTGCTTCCAGGTTCTTCTCTGGGTGCGGCCACCGCCCTGAACATCCCCGGCCGACACCACTGCCCCCAGCAACAGAACCTCCTGTGTGGTGGGCAAGTCCTCAGGCCGGGCTTCTCCTCAACGTGGCTACTCATCACCCACTTACAAAGTGCAAACAAATTCCTACTGGGAGTTTTATTGGGATTATATGGAATTTATAGTTTAATATAAGGTAAAGTGACAACCTCAACTTCAGAATACGGAACCTTCCTATATATTAATGTGTGTATTTATTCAGGTCTGCTAAAATACCAAGAGTTATTTTTCCCAAAGTCATCCATATTTTGTTATATTTTTTTTCCTTCAAATTTTTATTTATAATTCTCATTAGTTAACATATGTAGTGTAATATCGGTTCCAGGAGAATCCAGTGACTCCTCACTTCCATACAACGCCCGGTGCTCATCCCAGCAAGCGCCCTCCGTACTACCCATCCCCCATCGAGCCCATCCCCCACCCACTTCCCTCCGTCAACCCTCAGTGTGTTCCCTGTCCTTACAGTCTCCTGTGGTTTGTTTCCCTCTCTCCCCTCCCTTCCCATGTGTCCATCTGTTTTGCTTCTTAAATTCCGCATACGAGTGAAATCATGTGGTATTTGCCTTTCCCAGACTGACTGATTTCGCTTAGCATAATGCCCTCTAGCTCCATCCACATCATCGCACATGGCAAGATTTCCTTCTTTTTGATGGCTGAGTGGTACTCCATTGTATACATACACCACATCCCCTTTACCCGTTCATCATTTGGGCTCTTTCCACAGTTGTTGATAATGCGGCTATAAACAAAGGGGTGTGTTGTATTTATTTCTTGGATACCTTATGTTTTTGTTGCTGTCATAAATGGTATCTTTTTTTTTGGTAAGATTTTATTTTTAAGTAATCTCTACACCCAAGGTGGGACTCAAACTCACAACCCAAGATCAAGGGTCACATGCTCCACCAACTGAGCCAGCCAGGTGCCTCAAATGGTATCTGTCTTATGTTAATTTCCTCTTTGTTACGTTCTTGTATACCCCGGTCCTAGTGAACTTTTATCAATTCTGAAGATTTTCTTTTTTAAATATTTTTTTAAATGTTTTTTTTATATTTTTGAGAGAGAGAGCACGCACATGTGTGTGCTACTCCACCTCGGTGGCACCCGGGGCGGGGAGAGGGGCATCTGAAGTGGGCTCTGAGCTGACAGCACAGAGCCCAACGTGGGGCTCAAACTCACAAGCTGTGAGGTCATGACCTGAGCCAAAGTCGGATGCTTAACCGACAACCACTCAGGCGCCCCTGTAGATTCTCTGAAGTTTTCTACACAGACCTCTACAAACAATGACAGCTTTATTTCTTCCTTTACAACTATGCCTTTTTTATTTATTATCCTTACCTTACTATACTGGCTAGTATTTTCACTACAACACTTAACGTAAGTGGTAAAGAAAGGCATTTTTGTCTTGTTCACGGTTTTAAAGAGAACGCTTCTAATGTTTCACTAGTAAGTGTGATGCTTGCCGAAAGCTTCTGATTGATACCCTTCCACAGATTAAGGAAGTTACCTTCTAATCCCGGCTTGCTAACTTTGTATCAAAGGGCAATGAATTCTATCAAATGCCTTTTCTCCATCTACCGAGTGGATCACTGATTCTGCAACACAGTGAGTCACACACTCGATTTTCTTCCATTACACCTCTCTGTTCCTAAGGAAAGCCCCTCCCAACCCGTGTATCACTACGCGTAATATCGAACATAACCAAGGCCGGGGGTCTAATCCCTTCAGCTCTTTACAACCAAGCCCTTATCACCATGTACTAACCAATGCCGCATTCCAGGAAGGTGATCAAGAAAAGTGTTCAAACGCTTGCCCTATCGATATACTTCTGTCCCTGCTGTCTCCTCATCCACAACGGGAGGGACGTTCTAGTAACCCAGAGCACACAGGCAAGCATCTCCGCCCTCCAGGACGAAAGTGGCGGTTCCCTAACACTCCCGTATTACAGCTCAAACCTCTGCAAAGCTCACTACAGAGCGTGCTGAGAGCACCGCGGAACGGGAGGACTGCGCTGAAAGGATGTTCCCCAAACTCGGGAACCCCCAGAATAAACGCACAACTGAGAACCCGGCACAGTACCGACCTCATCCCTGTGCTTCTGACAGAAGACCAGAAACTGGGATGCCGCATCTCCCTTTCTGCTTCGTGGAGCGGAGGCCGTGGCCTTCTTCCTCCCAGGAGGAGACCCGACTCCTCTCTTGGGGTCGGCCTCTGCCATCTTTTGAGGAGTACTCTGTACTGTCCCAGGGTCACCCGCTCGGTTTTCGGCAGAGCTAGACAGCTTCACTCTCCGCCTTCTCTTGATGGGAACGCCCTCTTCTCGCATGGACTTGGGGTCAGCAGCAGCTTCCTCGGGGACTCCTGAGGGCTCTACCATGGGTCCCAGAGGCGGAGCCTCCACAGGAATGCCTGCCTCCTTAGCTACGTGAGGGTTGAGGTGAAGCTGCTCCCCCACGTAGAGGAAAGTGAACTTGGCCTTCCGCTCCTCCACAGACATGCTTGCAGCTTCTTCTGCTTGAACGATGCCCGTTTCCCACTGGGCCCTCAATTTCCCTGAAATAGGTTTCAACAGCTGAAAAGAGAAACATAAGACACTGTAAATTTCATCATACAAACAAAAAAGTTAACCCACTTTAAAGAAGAATATTTTTAGAATTCCAGACAAATTTAGAAATCAAAAGCTATAAAAACCAATTTACTTGAAGGTTTAGACAGAATTCAGCCCAATGTAATAACTGTTTCTTTAAACCAATTCCAATCCCATTTAACTAATGTAACATATACACTACATAGTATAGATCAGAGATAACATTTCATGTATTTTTATGTATACAAAGAAAAATAAAAATTATAAAAGAAATTATCTGATTATCATCCAATGAGTAAAACGAATAAACTAGGTCTCCAAGGACACTTGTCGTATTCTGTAACACAGCATACTTGGGCAAAATCAAACAATGATAGACATAAATCATTATAATATATCAAGCAACCATAATTTCAAAATAAGGTAATAATTAAGAGTAAAAATTATTTTGGTCTAAAATTATACTTAAGGAACATCTATCACCTTAATTTTCTCAGCTTTCGTGGGTGCCTGCTTGGCACTTTCCTGGCATAATTTTTCAAACTGTCCTTCTCCTTCAAAAGCTACAAGGCTCTTCTCAAATATCCAAGCTCTTTCTGGGGCATCACCAAAGAATTGTACGTGATACTGGCGTGCACTCTTTTTCTGACCTAGTTTTTAAAATAAAATGTTAGAACTTGAAAGTTAGAATTTGGGATCAAATTAGGCAAGTCTATTAATAATTAGTGATATGAAGCTGCTTTGAAGTTGTTTTATTTGGTTCTGTTTCAGTCTGTTAACCTCAAAAAAAGTCCTACCCCAAGCTCCATGTCAAAGAGAAAGGAAACACATTTATGAGGGACTCAGGTAAGATTCAAATTTGACTAGGAAAGAAAGTAAATAAATGCTCTCCTTTATCTCCTCCGTCAAGATCCACTTAAAAAGATTACCAAATAAAGAAAGTAAGAGAGGACATCAGCAAAAGGGCCATTCAACAGAGAGGGTACTAGGCAGCAATGAATGGGATACAGACTGGTGTCAGATGGCCCGGGTTCAAATCCCAACCCCATCACCTACCAGCTGGGCAACCTTGGGCCGGCTACTCACTCACAATGCTCAGAGGGGGAATCAGGGTACCAATGACCTCTGAAGGCAGCCATGAGGCCACAGGGTAACCCCTCAGATGTCCACTGCGGTTCCTCTTAGCAGAAAGGAAAAAGCCACATCCTACAGTGCAGCCAGAAGGGAGATGGGTGAGGAAAGAGACACTTGAACCCAAAATCCAAGAGAGGATCCCAAAATGCCATATTTGGCTGAAGAAGAGTGAGGCTGAAAACAAGCAAGCTGGTTAAAAGGTCAGACCTCTGTGCCAAGTGGAGGGAGAAAGGGGGATCTCCACGGGAGGACCGCCAGGCCCTGTTCCTTCACAGAGAACGTTGGCCAAAAGAAATCCAAGAACACTTTCTACAGAACCAACACATCCAGAGGAAAAATGTCTCCATTGAGTCTTTTGGAGATCCCCCCAACTAAGTGGCCGACGGCCAGCTGGACCCTCTAAAATAAGCTGTCCGTCTCCCCACACACAGGCTGCAGCAGCTCTAAGTGGCGCTCTCTCAAATGCAAACGCAGCATCCAGGACTCCCGGGACCCAGGGAAGCCTCTAGCACAAACAAGCCCAAGATACACAAAAATAAGCAATCTCTGCAGGGCCACACACACACACACACCATGCCAGGAAGAGAGGACACCTGACAAAGAAAATCTCTAGTTTGCTATGTAAAGAAAACAAATAAAAGAGCTATCAGAAACTTTAAAATACAATTATGAAAAAACAAAATCATTAAGAAAGCTTGGAAGGTATGTTAAGAAATCTCCCAGAAAGAAGAAGATTAAGATGAAAAATATCTACTCCTGTCAGAAACCTATAGGATCAATCCAGGAAGGACCATACTCAAGTAACTGTCCTTCTAGAGAGAGAAACAGAGAAAGTTGTCAAAGAATTAACAACACAAGACCACGTCTCAGAACTAAAACAATTCTAAGTGTCTCATCCAATACCCACACCAAGGTACATCTTTGTGACATTTAAGCCATTGAAGGAAGACAGCTTCCATGTTAATGGAAAAGTGTTATAGTACTTCAAGAACAATTCTGGATGCTAGAAGGAAATGATGTAATACCTTCAAAATTCTGAAAAGAATGGTTTTCAACATAAAATTCTACGCTGAGCCAAACCATCAATCAAGTGTGAAGATAGAGAAGTAGCATCCTATGAACCACAAATTTACAACCCATACACACTTTCTTACGATACCAAAAATATATTCCAGCCAAAAAGGAAAACTGACCAAAAGCACAGTGTGGAACCACACAAAACAATGCATGTAACTCAGGAAAGCATCTTTAAGAAGTCTAAGATTACTATAACGCAAAAGGTTAAAAGAGTGCTGGCAGTCCAGACTGAAGCAGGAAAATGGAAAATTCTAGCACAGAGCTCCAGGGGAAGAAAAGATGAGAAAAAAGAAAATTTCCATAGCAAAAGAAAATCTGAGTAGCAAGGAAAGACAATTAAAAAATGAGATCCAGGGAGCAGAAAAGGAAAATGGCAAACACAGGTTTTCACATTTTCCCCCCAACAGAAAAATCTATATAAAAGGAGGAGTTTCAGGGACAGAAAAATAAATAAGGCTGTATAGGCAGCAAAGCAGAGGATTTAAAAGTAAAAGCAGCAGTGCCTGGCTGGCTCAGTCAGTGGAGTATGTGACTCTTGATCTCGGAGTATAGGTTCAAGCTCCATATTGGGCTTAAGAGCCTACTTTTTCAAACAAAACAAAACAAAACAAAACAAAACAAAACAAAAGGCAATAATTAACTCCAGGAAAAGAAAAGGTTGTATAAGAAAGAAAATGCAATTATAGAACACACTTCTCTTTTCACTCAATGATATTTACATAGTCAAAATTATGTGAACATTTATGTTTGATGTAATAAAAACAGCAAGTTAATTATATGCAGAGGATGAAAAGAAATAAGAAATAATGGAAGGGATCACTTTCCATAAGAGGAAATCAACAGAAAATATCTAAATGATAAATCAAAAGTGGTAGTTAATCGGGAGTCTGGGTGGCTCAGTCAGTTAAGCGTGTGACTTCAGCTCAGGTCATGATCTGATGGTTAGCGGGTTCAAGCCCCACGTCGGGCTCTGTGCTGACAGCTCACAGCCTGGAACCTGTTTCAGATTCTGTGCCTCCCCCTCTCTCCCTACCCCTCCACCACTCACATTCTGTTTCTGTTTCAAAAATGAATAAATGCTTAAAAAAATTCTTTTAAATAGTAGTTAATCCAACTATATGACATTCTGAAAACAGCAAAACTATGGAGACAGTAAAAAGATCAGTGTTTGCTGGAGGTTCAGAGGGAAGGAGAGATGAATAGGCAGAGCAGAGGTTCTTCAGGGCAGTGTAACTATTCTGAATGATACTATGATGATGGATATAGGTCATTACACATTTGTCCAAACCCATAGAATACACAACACCAAGTAGGAACCTAATTTAATCTACAGACTTAGGGTGATTGATGTATCACTGTAGGTTCATTGATTATAACAAATGTACCACTCTGGTGGAAGATGTTGATGGGAAGGGAGGCTGTGCATGTGTGTGGGTGGGCTATCTGTACCTTAATTCTTCTGTGAACCTAAAACTGCTCTGAAAAAAATAATAAAGTCTTTAAAAAAAAAATAAAAGTAGTTAAAACTAGAAGAAAATGCTGGAAGTGTTAAAAATACATTAGCCCTAAGGAGGAGACTGGACTATTTTTCACTATTAAACTCTCAATAGAATTTGATTTGTTTGTTAAATGTGCACACTTCTTTGGGGTGTGTGGATGGCTCAGTTGGTTAAGTGTCTGACTTCGGCTCAGGTCATGGTCTCCCAGTTTGTGGGTTCAAGCCCTGTGTCAGGCTCTGTGCTGATAGCTCAGAGCTTGGGGCCTGCTTCAGATTCTGTGTGTGTGTGTGTGTGTGTGTGTCTGCCTCTCCCCCACCATGCTCTGTCTCTCTCAAAAAAATGAACATTAAAAAAAATTTTTTTATGTACGTATACTTTGATTTTACAATAGGTGAGATTCAAAACTATGTTAAGAGATTTGTGACTTCTTCCATTACTTTAATACTTTGAAAGAACTTTCCTTGGTCACGAAAATGACTATAGGCATATGTCACACCATTTGCATAACAAAGAAGGTCTGTTACAGTGCATATAATGAAACAATATGAACTTACATTATTTTCTATCAAAAGTTAATTACACAAAAAAAGACTCCTTACAGAGAAAGTGAAAAAAAAAAAAAAAAGCAGAGAAAAATACTATAGTCTGATCCCAGGTTTGTAAAATAAATATAATTAGTTTTGAAGTTCTTTCCTGCCTAGAAATTTGGTAACAATATAACCCAGTTTTTTTCCTAGTTTTGTGGGTTTCTTTAATCCATATGAATTTCCCTGCTTCAAGAGGTGAATATCTCAGTGTTTTATTTTACCACATAATTAACCAGTTGTCCCACCATTTATTAGTAATTATTTCTTCCTGTGATTTCTGATGTTCATCAATCATGTTCAGTGTGAAAACACTTGTCATTGACTCCCCCTACCCACACAACCTTCTAAAAGAACCTATCCTCCACCAATAACCCAGGTACCTAATTTTGCACTACAATCCTTTTGTCCCCATCATGGCCCATTGGACTCAAGGTGACCCTGACCCTCTGGGCTAGAATGAGCCAGAATCTCTCCAGATTCTGCGAATCCTTTGAGTTGACAGCAGTCACCCATGCATGCAGAATGGACCCCAAAAAGAAACAAGGCTGCTTTGCAGCCGAAGCTCCAGGCAGGAAGAGCAGCAATTTAAAAAAAAAAAAAATGCAGACAAGTGTCTACAGAAGCAAGAATAGAGAACAGGGACAAAATCACAAGGACATGACACCACAGAGTTCCACAGAAAATAAAGGACAAGCATCACCATGCCTGAATTTCCTGGTTTAGTCCCTGGAGGGCACTAGAGCACCAAAACAGGGAAAGCACACACTGACAAAAAATATTAGCCGATTATTTTAACATACCTCTCTCGGTAACTGAAAGAATAAGCCAAAAAGAAAAAATCAGTAAGGAGATCATACTATGAAGCGATATGATCACCCAAGATATGAGAAGGCCACATTACCTATCATATTTTTTGAAAATGCTGGAATTTAGAAATAAAGCAATGAGGGTGACCTTCCGTAACAGAAAATGTGACAAAAATTTTTTCCACAACAGAAAATGACTGGACTCCAGACAGCAGTTATCTGATGAGGAGACTAGTGCGATACGGGCATGCCCTGGACACGGTGAAGCTCTCAGGTGCAAGACAATTGTTCTCTTCATAGTGTGGTATCTAGAAACCTACACTTATCTGCTGTTTCCAACTTGAGTCAGGCCTCAAAGCTGCTCATCCATCTAAGATACCCTGGTAAATAACAGGCCAGACAAGTCTTGCTACTGTGCATCACAAAAATGCTGTCTTAACGTTTGTTTATTTATTTATTTATTTATTTCGAGACGGAGTGTGAGCAGGGGAGGGGCAGAGGCAGAGGGAGAGAGAGAATCCCATGAAGGCTCCGCACCGTCAGCAGA